CTCAGTCTCTTGATTGGGTTCTTCAGTCATCTTTTGCTCAGTGAGACGTAACCCAGTCTCTTGATTGGGTTCTTCAGTCATCTTTTGCTCAGTGAGATGTAACCCAGACTCCTGCTTGGGTTCTTCACTCATCTTTTGTTCAGTGAGATATAACCCAGACTCTTGATTGGTTTCTTCACTCATCTTTTGCTCAGGGAGATATAACTCACTGGATTCCCCTTCAGGACCCACCCCAGCACTGATGTGCTGTTCACTCTCTTGCTTCACTTCATAATCATGACATATATCAGGGCTGTTGCAAGTTTGAGAATTAGTATCATGGTCACAGTGGGTCAGTAGATCAGGATTCTCATCATCTGCTTCCAAACTGAAGGGCTGCTTTGCCTCCGTCCATAAGTCAGGTGAAGCTGAAGCTAGTTGCCCATCCTGTTGTAGGTTGCCATGGAGAATATCTGGAACAAATGTGCCTTGGGATTCCTCACTAAGGGTAGAGCCATCCCATTGAGAACTTGGCTTCTTTATAAATTGGTTGGAAGAACTGACATAAGGGAAATCTTCCGAGGCAACCATTGAATTTGTTATTTCTCTGGGATATGCTTTTTCCTGTTCCCACCAAATTGCTTCTTGACTCTCAATAGTTGAAACATTAGATGTAACACATCCATTTTCATTGGTTTGAATATGTGTTGGTTCTGGCTGGTTCCAGGAGGACAGTGTTGTATTCTCATACTGCTCTTGGGCAGGTATTTCTGAAGTGAATGCATCACCAGAAGAAGATATGGAGGTTTTATCTCTTGAATCCTTTTCTTTAATTTGGTCCAATATTACAAGCTGGCTGTGCTGATCAGCTTCTGGGTCTGGCTCTCTTGGTTGAATGTTCCAAAGTTGCTTATGGGAGCCTTCTCCATCACTATCCAGAAAGGGTGACTGGTGTTTATCACTGAAAGGACTTGTACAATGTGTAGCCATAGAATCAGCATCACCCTGAATGGGTACTCCCCAGGGACCCATCTTTTGGTATGTTGAAGAATTCATCTCTGACATGTCACTTGTGTTAGACAGTTCCCCTTCAAATGCACTTTCAATTGATCGCCCCTCCTTTGGAGAAGTATTCCACCACTCAGTGCTCTCGGTTGAGAAGCCAAGCATTTCCAATTTAGAATAGTTTTCATTCTTTGGCTCTGTTTTGGGAGATATTTGCCATAGAGTATCTCTATTGTTTCCTACTTCTGGAGAGGACTGCCTCTCTTTATCCACTACCATCTGCATTTCCTTCTTTATTGGTGAGAAATTCCAGCCTTCGGGACTGCTTTCTTGATTGTCACAGAATGGAATTGACTTATTCTCATTCTCTGCTGGTTCTGAACTGTCTGCGTAGTCAGAAGATTCCACCAGCTTGGGATCAATTGTGGGCAAGAATTTATCACTTTCACTCAATGAATCCCAAGCTGTGGATTCATGCTGAGCCACTTCACAAGTGGTCAAATGGATCTCTTTCCCCACCTTCTCTTCATCATCTATGCTATATTCATCAAGACCTGAGTTTGTTGAAATAAATTTGGCATCCTCTGGCTGAACAGTTTCAGGACTGTTACATACAGTTTTTTCTTGGTGGCTAATCACTAGAACTTTTTCCTCATGTGTACCTAAGTATTCAGAATATTTGCCTATTTCAGGACTAGATAAAGAGAGGGAGTCACCATCTATTGAGTCATTCCAAACCTCTAAAAACTTAGGAACCTTGGGATCTAAGCTCTTTTTAAACCTGTCCATTTTGTCTTTCTCCAGGTCCTTCATCTCAGTAATTTCTTGGCCACTGGTAGTAATTAGTTCAGATTCTTGGTGATCTTGTTTATTCAAATTATCTTGCTTCTCCTTCTGATGCTCCATATTGGGTTCATGGCCCCAAGAAGACAATGCAGCTAAAGAATCATTTAAGCCAGGAGTTGATGCACTTGAATGTGTACACTCACTACAAATACTATCTCTGTCATAATTTGCAGATGAACTGGCTCCTGGGGAGCTGTTCTCAGTACTTTTAACTTCAAGATTCTCAGTTATTTTAGAGCTCATGCAATTGACCTGCACATCATTGTCTACAGGGTCACCCCACACATTGGGACTTTGCGGACATTCATGAGATGACTCTTGGGTCATTTTCTCTGACTCCAGAATGTTACATTCTTCAGTTTTCCCAAGATTCAATTCAAGTGAGGATATATTTCTTGTTAAATTCAGTCTCCCTGAAACTTCAGTTGTCTCACAGGAATTACTGTGATTTGTGAGGTCATTTTCACAGGTCTCTTGTACTTGCAGGTGATTTGTGGACTCCTCTATTTGCACATCACAGTGGTCTAAATTGAATGACTCTTCCTCACATTCTAAAATCTCCTGTGGTTTCTCTGACTGAGGACTGCAAGTGGCTGAATGAGAACTTGCTTTGCCTAATTCATAACAGATTTCTTGATGTTCAGATGCAGCTAGGGGAGAGTGTTCTTGATCATCTTGCCCTTTTCCAGAAATCTGCGAGACTCCATCCAGCATCTCTGCCTCACCAAGGCTATCCCTTTCAGTGACTCCATGAGTTTCTGTCTCAACTTCACTTTGTCCATCACTAGGATCTTTCCATGGATCTGGGCATGCAAAATGCCCTGGATTCTCAAGAGTGGTCATCAAGGATGCTGTGTCACTCATCAGGGTTCCCCTGGATGTGTCCTGCTTGTGGGGATCAGGGGTAAGTGCCCCAGAGTCTCCTTGCACATCTGGAGGATGACTCTCCTTAACTTTTTCTGGGGAGTTGGGAGTTTCAGGAAGTGATCTACTTTGTGTTGTAGCTGTAACATGCAGTGGGTCTGGGAACATTAGTGATGGCATATTGTTCTCTCTCATGACAGAATCCCAAATACTGTTCGCAATCAGCTGTCCGCTTTTTTCATTCAGTGTATGATGTTCACTGGGGGCAGAGTCCTTGCTGTGCTCAGAGGTAGGAAGTTCCCAGTCTACCTGATTTGTTTCCGGATACTCCACACCCCATGGTTCAAGTTGTTTCACTGAAAATCGAGTTTCTAGTTCAGCACCTTCAGCCATGTATCCCTGTGCTTGACTTGCACCAGGCATAGCCACACCCCCACTGCAGTCATCCCAGTCCAAATCATTATCCATATCTGAGATGGTTGCTGTGGACTGAGTGTCCTCCAGCATCACTCCATTCCACAAGTCAAGGCCATCGGGGGCAGCCTGCCGGGAGTTAGTGTTACTGTGCAGAAGCGTGAGCTGGCGGTTTGTCTCATTGTACAGTTGCATCATGTTGGGGTCATCGTAGCTGGACTGGCTGCTTTCCCCAACGTCATTTCCCATGGAGGCATTCTTATCATCTGCAGACTCTGTCTTGAGTAAATCTTCATCTGTATTAGGCGTGACATTATTTTCAGAACTACCATCTGCATGAGGTAAAGCCCACATTTTTAGGCTCCCGGGATCTGAACTAATTCGATTTCTAGGTGGCTGCTGTGGTGACTGAGGGGGCATTTCTGCTTCCTCTGCAGTAGAGTTAGCATCTTTTGACTCAAAACCTCCCTCTTTAGCAAAGGACTTATTTTCAATTTCTTTGTCATCTCCACCACATGTGGGTGATGTATAAGAGTCAGAGGTGGAATAGTTGGTATCCAAGGGGGAAGGCACTGAGTCTTCTCCAATGTTGGATGCACTGTAGTCAGAGCTTTTATATGATAAGAAGGAATCTTCCCAAGGAGCTAGGACATCTGAGCCTCCTTTCTTGCTGTTCTCCTCAAATAAGTTCCAGGAATCTACCTTCCCCCTAATTTTTGGATCCACTAAACCATCCTGATCATCCTTTGCTGATTTTGAAGCATTCCACATATGATCCAGATCAGATGTGGGATTTCTAGCTATCAGGATATTATCCCTGGAGCCAGGGTTCTTCTTGCCCCAGATTTGTGGAGCTACTTCGCTGTCTGCTTCACCAGGTGAATTGCCCACGAGGTCTTCAGTAGGAAAAGAAAACCCACTCTTTGTCATGGCCCACTCACTCAGGTCCCTCACAGAAGGAGTTTCATTACTCGTTGGATGCAGATTCCAGGTATTCTTTAAAGCTTCGCCATCTTCTTTACTAAATCCACCCCAGGCTGGGAATGGCGCTGCAGCAGCTGGCTCACCATCATCTGTGGGATTTCCCCAAGACTCAGGCACTGCTGTGGGAGAGCGACTAGAAGGCCACAAAGTAGCAAAGTCTTCTATCAGGTGGCTTGTTCCCTGAGGAGAAGCATTGGACAACTGTGATTTCTCAGTGGGCAGGTTCTGAATCTGCAAGTTTTCCTCATTTTGGTTTTGAATATTATTGCTATCCAGACCAGGCTGACCAAATTCAGACTCCCAGGGATCTGACTTTGAGAATTCATGGCTACCCTTTGACTGAAATACAGACTCTGAGGCTCTTCTTTCAGCTGAGCTTGGCTTATGATCTTTCCATGATTCAGGACTCTGGAAGACAGATTCTTGTTCACTGGAACTCCATGCATCTGCAATATTTTTAGAGTCCATTTCCAAGCCACCCCACCAGCTGCTGCACCGTGCACGGGTCTGAGGTGGTGCTAGGTGGCCTGCATTAACTGCTTTTTGGGTCATATCTTCTGGATAGAGTAGAGCTGGCTCTTCAGTGGATGGTGATTGTTCTACAAAGCTATTCATGGGTGTTGGGGGGATTCTCTTCCCAGTATTATTCAGTCTTTCTGGTGAAGGAGGTTCATCCCCCAAGAAATCTGTTAGGTTCAAATTTCTTTCAGAGTCATCCCTGTGACTTTCTTGTCTTTGGGCAAACTCCTCATCAAACTCTGCCAGACTATCTTTGCCATCACCTGACAAAAGTGAACTGGATGAATAGTTAGACATGTTGATCCCTATCTCCTCCAGTCCTTTAGGACCTGCAGGAGCTTGTCCTTCTGAGGAATCGCTGTTTGGGAAGAAGTCATCTGCTGGGGAGTAGTCTGCAGAATGGGAAGATGGTTGGGAATGCCCAGAAACCATGGGTGCTGAGTCAAAGTTGAAAAGGTCAAAGTGTTCACCATGTTCTCCAGACCGTGCATGCTCCTCTGCTACTACCCCTTCTGGGATAGGACTGTAGGAGTCAAACCCTGGAAGGAGATTGTGGTGAGGCCCAGCACCTTCTCCCACTGGACTGTCATCACTGAGGAAAACTGAACTCTCCTTGGATGAACGGCTGCTCCTAATGGTGGCCAACCCGCTGTCTGGGCTAACAAGGTCTATGTTGACATCCACCTGGGCCTGGTTAGAATCATTCAAGTCTGGAGGGTTTTCTATGAAATTCACAGAGTTGGGTTGTGGCTCTATGTCAGAACCATACAATTCCATAATCCCTGAAGATCCTTGGGAGAGTGGAGCGCTGCCTGCCACGGCTTCTGTAGAGGACGTCCGGCTGTTGGATACCATCTCTGGACACCTCCTGTTGATGACTTCCTTGACAAGGAGAACCACCTGGTCGCAAGTCACTGAAGGGTTCTCCTGCTGGTACACCAGGATCTCATCACAGCCACATTCAAAGGGCTCCAGCTCTAGGCAAGGGTTCTGGCACTCCTCCAGTTCACAGCAAATCTGGAAAGATGCGAGTGTTGGCATGAGCAAAATGGCACTCCAATCTTTTCAATTTGCTTTCTTAATTTTTCTTAACATAAAATTTATCGATGCTTATCTGTATTTATTTAAAAAGTACTCAAACAACTGATATCTATATAATGGAAAATTCCATTGACACACCTAATCCTTTCTCCAGTCTCTTCAAATTGTCTTTTTGTTTAACTCAAAATCCATCTGCTCAATTTGGCTGACTCCTGACAGTTATAGATAAAGAGATTTTAAACCATTTAAATCCTTTCTCCTCAGTACAACATAATACCCTCTCTCAACAAAAGTGAAACACAAGTTTGCAAAAAAAGCAGATATCATGCTGGTTGCTGACACCAACTAGGAACAAAGTGTTACAATAAGGTCAAACAGGACTAGAGAATGGTTTTGTTTAGAGTAGGACCTGCTTTAACCTCTGCCAATACCAAAATGTAAAAGAGAAGATAGAAAAGAAAAAGCAGCTACCAGTGGCAGGGCTTCCCAGCAGCACTCTCAAGACCCAGATGCTCCTCCCTCCTCCTTGTGAGCATCTACATGGGCCCAGAACAGACACAGCTCATGTGGAAGGCAGGGGACATGTGACATTCAACAAGATGCCAAAATTGACTGCAGTTCTGTAATTTTTAGGAAATAATGGGCATATTTTTCACACTAGGCTTTGAAATGGCTCTACAGTATCAGTAGAAGTAACAATAACAACTATAGCACTAGTATAGATAGCAATACTAACAATTAGCATTTATTAAGACCTTTTATATGACAGGTACTGTTGTAAGGGTTTTGTACACATTATCTCCTTTAATTCTCACAATAATTTCATTTTTAATTCTCACATGGTAATTTCAGGGTAAGAACTCTTTACTCCCATTTTGCCAAAAAGGAAAACCATAGGAAGGTTAAATAACTTGATTAATAACACACAGTTAACAAGTTATGGAGTCACATTTTGAACTCAGGCAGTTGGGCCACAGAGGCTGAGCCTTAACCAACTATGCTGCCTAGATTAAGAGGGATTCTTCCAAGAGCAGTCTTGGCCCTGTGATGCTCAAGATCTCAAAGAATTGTCTCTCAGCTATGCTGTGGTTGTGGAGGGATCTAGGGAAGGGAGGAAAGAAAGATGGATTCAACTCAAGGCCTTCTAATGTCTTCACTGAGTCTTTTACTTTTGTCTGCTTTAAATCACTGTTTTAAAATTTATTTGTTGATAAAAAGAAATTTAGAGACTACCATATTGGAAGTTAAGGAGACCTAAGTCCTCTCTCTGGGAAATTAATGACTAATGGTAAAATTCAGCTTTGGAAAACAGTGCAGAGCAAAGCAATAAAACAGTCCCATGCTGGCGTTGCAATGCAGAGACGTGTATGGTCACAAAAAGGGTGAAAAATGCATCTGCAGTAGGATCAGGGGGATGTTTCACATTTAGACTTGAGAAAGCAGAAGAAACAAGAACCCCTACTGTGTGTGTGAGGAAAGCCAAGGCCAATCTTTCAGGGACAGCTAGTGAGGACATAGCAAATAAAGCAGTGCAGGCTTTGCCTCTAGTCACTTGCTGGCAAGCAGGATGTCTATTCCTTAGGTGAGGAAAGATTTGTGATGACACACATGTTCTTTGTCCATGTTGCCCATATTATAGTGACTCATGAATGTCCTCATATTAGTTAATACATATTACCTGATATGGTATACTCAGTGTCCTTTTTTGATTAATTTTGTCCTATTGCATCATTTCCAAAGTCTTAACTCTGTTATCGATCTAGAGGATCTGACTGATTACCCAGTCCGACATCCCACAGACAATGATACCTTGTACCATGTGGCCCCCGTATAACTCAGTATCTCTTATACCAAACAGGTATGATAACCTTGTTAGTTACTACTAAGCAGCTGCCTGAAAAGAAAATAATACCCAAAGGATGACTTGCCTTCATTTGTGTAAGAAAAGTGTGTGCTTTTTCTAAAGATTCAATCTAGAAGCAAAATAATAATGGGGGTCTGTTAAAAGACCCCATATGCAAAATACACCTAACATCTGACACTCAACATCAAGGACTTTATCTCTTGGGCCACATTCATTCAGCCACCAATCCATTTCCATCTTCCACTTTGTGTTCTGACATGTGCCTGGTAGGGAGGTCCTTACCTGGCTGCACAGCTCTAAGTTCTCAGAGTACACGGCCACTTGCTGTTTTGGCTGCTGCTGCTCCTCTGACTGAGAGCGGGCCAACAGTATGATGACATCAAAACCGAATTTGTCTGTAAATGCTTTCAAATCACTGGCGATGTTGCTGTGAAACATACAGTTCTGAAAGGACAACAGGAAATCTGCCATTAACATCAAACTGTACTTGGGGAGGTGTTTCACAAAATTGCCCAATCTTATGTATGAAAGACATTTATTATGAGATGTAAATGAAATAAACAATTTTCTTTGAGAAAGTCTGAAAACTTTCATGCTATGGCTTAATGTACAGTTGACCTTTGATCCACATGGGGGTTAGGATCCCAGTAAGTCTTTTGTACTCCTGGGTTCTGCATCCAAAGATTCAGCCAGCGCACACTAGCCTCATAAAAACCACCCTGCGCTGTGCATTCTGACCACTTTGCTAGAAGTTCTCTGCACATATTGAATATCTGAATGCAAACCTTGTAGACTGTATGGATCCTTGAAATTCAAACCAATTGTTCAAGGATCAGCTATGCTTGCTTTGTTTTCCTAAATCAGGAAAGGGAGAATTCCTTGTAATTATTATAAAATATTGTTTAGACAAAAAAGAAATATCTTAACAGTCTGAGAAATTTGTTCAAATATTGACTTTGCAAAACATGCTTTTCCTCCTATTGGCCATTGTATATAGGAAAGTCTGCTGACTATTATTGCAACCTAGCAGTAGGAAAATAGGAGGAAGTTATTGCTCTCTTCCAGAATCGGTTTCCAGTGGTTGTTATTAACTTCAAGCAGAATCCGAGGATGAACCTAGCTGAGTTTTCTGAATACTTCTTTTCCCAGTGTAGAAGGCCAGGAGGTTTGTGCATGTGCTACAATGTCAAATCTGCCTGCTCTATGCAGTAACTAAGGAGAAATGAATACACATATAAAGTGCCCTATGACCATGGGGCACCCAGATCTGTGGCTCACATCATCTATGTAACTATGCTAGCCTTTCAGTCTCCATTAAATGACTGAAATGAGAACCATTTGTCAGTATGACTGTCTTTAAGAAATTCAGTGAAGGCCATATACTAGCCCCTAGCATGATTCCTGAAATATACTCGTTACTTGAGATGTTATTGAATGACTGGAGAGATAACATAAACCAACCTCTGATAAATAATCTTCTACCACAGCATAGAATTATGATCATATATGGTCAGTCAGTTGTCAGACTTTTGTGCTACTTGACAAAAAATCACCATGAATAAAAGTCACTTAAGAGGTAAAAGGAATTCTCTTAATTTAAAAAAAGGATTTATTTATTTATGCATACAGAACTGGGATATAGGCCAGAGGTGCAGGGGCAGTGAGAAGATTCACCAGAGACAGAGTGGGGAGCAGAACAGGTAGATCAATGAAATACACTGCTGAGGAGAGCATCGGGCGGGTCAGGAGAGGTTTGACACACCATGTGGGTCACCTTTGGGGTGGGGGTTGAACTCATACTGAAATGGCTTTAGCTTCTTAGTGCTGTACTTTAACCCTCTGTGCCATCAGGGAGGGCCCTCTCTTAATTTTTAAAAATTTATTTATTTATGCACACAAGAACTGGGGTACAGACCAGAAGTGGGGGATTGAGAGTATGCATCAGAAACAAAACGGCGAGCAGAACAGACAATCAACTGAAGTACACTGCTGCAAGGAGCAATGGGCAGGACAGGAGAAGTCTGCCACGCCATGTGGGTCACCTCCCTGGTTGGGGATCGAACTCGTGCTGCAGTGGCTGTAGAGAGCTTCATAGTGCTGTGGTTTAAACCACTGTGTCAACTGGGAGTGCCCTCTTAATTTTTTCTGATACAGTCATTAGAATTATGCACACAGTTGGTAAAATAGTATAGCACTACAGAAATGCATGCCATAGGAAGTGGGAGCAACATGTACCCCCACTTCTGATAACTGCTGTAAAGAGTTAAATAGTACAGTGTGTTTAAGTGCATTTTTTTCCATGGCCACATCAATATTTTTATGTGATAATTCTTTGAAATGTGTGGATTTTATATTGGTGAATTAGACTGTTCACCGATTACTTAAAATATCCACAATACACTCACTTTGTAATACTGCACTGTTAGATCTCAACGTCAGTGAGACCCCTGAGAAACATCTGTCCTGAGGCAGATGTGGAGGTCAGCCCTCACTAGCTTCCATACCTCCAGGAGTTTTGTTGTCACTCCTGTTGCCACTCCATTACAAGGAAATTTGTATGGGAATTCACAAGGCTACAGGTACACTGCTGAGAATACCAATGTCTTAGAGTACTGGCTTGGTCATGAAAGGCTATGATGTTCAAGTACTTTTGGCAGAATACATTTCAAATGGCACAGTGTCATCTTTCATGTTTGTTGACTGCCCAAGTGTCATAATAACAATCTTTATATAGGTGTGTTTTATAAAATTAATTTAGTTGCAATAACAGAAGACATTTAGAACAGATATTTAGAATAAAGTTTTCTCTTCTTGAACTTCATGTTATCAACAAGGTGCATCTCTTAGTAGATAAAATTATTTTACATCATTATTGGCATTACCCATTATGAATCTGAATACAGACTATCTAGCCATTTTTAAAAGTGAGAGAAGATATGGTTATGAAGGAAAGCAAGGACAGAGAGCAACTACATACATTTTATCTCCAGTGACTGATGCCTTTGATTTTTTTTTATAACCAACTTATGGCAAGGAAGAAGAGGAAATAGAGTTGGCCTCAAAAAAAAGAGGAAATTCTCTTTCAAGGAGGAGCCACTTAGCAATGGACTTGAATAGGCTGCTGGCAGCAAGAACAGCAACTCCAATAAAGCAGTCCTAAAACTATCCTAGAAGATGAGAATGGACATTTCCCTCATGGGCATATACTTTATGGTAACAATTCCCAACATGTCCTCTATGTCCCCCCCAAAAAACAAAAATTCATAAGAGTTGAAAAAATAATTGTATTATGTATATAACACCCCCCAATATGTTTATAAACCCTTGGGTGGTGAGGGAAACCCACATTCCTAAGAGATTTTCACATATAATAGCAATGTTATGCCCCTCTGGCTGGGTGACTCAATGGAGACAAGGCAGGTGTTTCTGGTATTTGAGCACAAAATAAGGATCCAGTTGAATCAGTTTTATTGAAAGCCATATTGTGGAACATTTGCTATTCAAAAATGTTGGCTTAGCAGTAATCTGTTTGGATTTTTGTGTGTTAAAATGATGATTCTAAGATCTTACTAGACTCAAGTTCAGAGGCAGGTGTTGACAAAACCCAGTCATGTGGGAAACACAGAGGTTTTAGGCCACACCTGGACTTACTCAAGTTGAATTTGCATTTCCCAGAAGACCCAGGTGATCTGAATGCACATTAAATCTAAAAACACTGCTCTATAGAGGCATTTGTTAATTGATAAATTTTCCTATGAGCCAATTGTTTGGACACTCTTAATCCTATTACAAGACTGTTATTGACTCTCTCCCTTTGCTCCTTGTTCCTTACAATAGCTTCATCACAAAAAAAAATAATAAAATCACCAGTGGGTGTATATTTGTGGGTGACTTTGTTCGTTCTCATTTAGCAGGTCAAGTATAGGATTCAGGCATCTGTATGTTATTGAGTACCCTTAAGTGATTCTTAAGATCAGATTCTATTGGATTACATTCCCCCAGTCTTCTCTGGGTGGCCCTGCCTTCCATAAGATCAAATGAAATATTGGTAAAAGAAAGATTTGTGTGAATCACTTAGGCATGTTAGAGAAACAAAATTACATTGTACAGTAATCTCAAAACAGATCATCAACCACTATGTCCTATCTACTTAAATAAAAATGTTCAAACCAGATTTGATCTTGCTAGATTTAGGAGTTTCAAGTTTAAGACAGAGTTAAATAAGAGAATGAGTGAGAATCTTCAGGAATCCAGGAGACAGAGTCTGTTTGTTCTGCTTTTATGCTGGTGCTGTTTGTATAGGAGATAATTTATTATTGTCTTCTAGCTACACAGGGAGTCATGTGCTGCTACGACTCTTATGTTGCTGACAAGCTAGGCTGGCCCTGAATAAACAGTACTTCATCACCAATACAACCCAACTGTAGATGCAGGTTGGCGTTTTATTCCCTCCATCTGCCTTCTACCTGATAAATTACTGTTTTAGTTACATATATACAAATACTATTTGTTAATCTGTGCAAATGTCTTTAAAACGTTTCTTCCACCTTAAGTTAAAATGATAGATATATACATCTCCCACTCAAATTGCCAATGGCTTGGAAAGTAAAGGATTCCGCCTTATTTTACCACACCCACCACAACAAACAACCTTCACATTTGAAATATGAACCCTGCCCAAGACTGCTGTGTGAAATTTAGGAAGTTACTTTATTGATCACTGCAAACAGAAATTTTGACAAGCAAAACCCAAATTCTTCCCATCAGAAAGGAAGGCTGGGTATCACTCCCTAGCACCATTCTTTGTCAAAAGACTCAATATTGCACGGGACTATGGTGGTGGCACAGGGGTGATTTGGTGATGGGAAACCCGTGGGGATTACAATTGAGATGAAAAAAAAATTGCAAAATGATGTAAAAATAAACTTTTTAATAAAAAAAAAAGAAAAAAAAAGACTCAATATCATTAATACTTTATAAAGGTGTTAAATCCTTTTGCTTAGATAGTTCCTAGTTTGGGAATCAGTAGGAAAGCCTGGAATGGGAGGGGCAGGGGAAACTGTTTTCAAGCCAAAATTAAAGTGTAGATCTCAAAGGCCCTAAAAAGAGTCTAAAGATCTTGATGACAAAGCATAGGAAAAAGAAATGATATGGTTTTACTCTAACAACTGAGGAAGTGATAGTGTCCAGTATATTTACTTCATTTATGATTGAAAGTGCACTGACAAAGGTAGTGGAAAATTCCATTCAGTCACAAAATTCTATTTTATTTCTTATTCCATTTCTCTGGGGGAAAAAATGCAGTGTATATGCTTTATCCTGCTAGCTTTACTGTATCACAAGAAATAAAAAAGTGATATAAATAATGTCTTGTAACCATTTGAATGTAGATATTCTTTGAGAGGGGACTGGTCCCACACATTGTTTACGTAGTCTACCTCACC